CTACACCTACTTCAGCTCTGACCGTCCCACCAGCATGGCCCCAGCACAGGGAGTCCCAGGACATCCAGCCTATGACAGCTACAGCTCTAGCCAGCTAGCCAAAGTCATCAGGCACACACAATCCACACAGGGGATAACCATACACAGGATCATTCCTTCAAGTTTAGGAGAAGTAGCTATTCCACCTAATTCACAGAAATAAACACAGAAAGTCAAGCAAATGGGGACAGAGGAATATGCTCCAAATGAAAGAACAAGACAGAGCCTCAGAAAAAGAACTAAATAGAACAGGGACAAGCGATCTACCCGATAAAGAGTTCAAAGTAACGGTCATAAACTCAGGACTTCAACAAAGAAAGAGAAAAATAAATAAATAAATAAATAAATAAATAAATAAACAAACAAACAAACAAACAAACAAATAAATAAATAAATAAAATTTTTAAAAAATGAGTATGGCTTAAGGGCTATCTTGGATAACACTGAGTAAACAAACATTTACATTACAGGGGTCCCAAAAGAATGAAGACATAATACCTTAAAACTTTCCCAACCTGGGGAAGGAAAGAGACATCCAGGCTCAGGAGCACAGAGAATTTGGATCAAGATGAACCCAAGGAGATCCATACCACTACACATAATAATTAAAATGTCAAAGAGGAAAGATTTTAAAAAGTATAGTTCCTTACCCAGCACTATGAAATTAAAAGCTCTGAGAATAGGCATGAAAACCTGCATTAAATAACAAGCTTTCTGTGTGACCTTATGCTTACTAAAGTTTTTAAAGAGTTACTTGATATCAGAATGACAGATTTTAAATTCCTTAAGATTGCTTAATGCGTGTACCAGTTTATAATTATGTGTGTATATGGTGGGGTTAGGGGGTGATGCATGGGACAGAAGAGTGCTAAAGTTTGACAGACCTGATAGTCTGGGAACTGGTTATGAAAATGACAGTTTTCTGGAGAGTGGAGAGTGTGGCAATCGGGACAACAGAGAGAAAGTATATGAATAAACACTGATGACTGAAATGTCTTACGTTTATGGTACCTGATAGCTGTGGTCCATGCTGTAAATCGCTCTGTGAAATCCTGTTATGGTGATAGTTTTCAAAAACTATTATGAGAAATAAACTAGATAGACGGAAACATATCATGTAAAACATGTATTTAAATTTGACCGATTCCAGGGAGTGTGGGTGTGACTCAGTCAGTTAAGCATCCGACTCTTGTTTTCGGCTCAGGTCATGATCCTGCAGTTCTTGAGATTGAGCCCCATGTCGGGCTCTGCACTGACAGCTCAGAGCCTGCTTGGGATTCTCCTCCCCTGCCCCACCCTCCCCTGTTGTGGGGGTGCACACACGCACACTTTCTCTCTCAAAATAAACATAAAAAAGATTTTTTTTCACTGATTCCTAAGAGATAAATATTGGTGTTCTTAGGAATGTGGTATCCTTTTAAAGCCCAAATATCTCATGACTCACTATTTTGGATAATTTTTCTCACTACCACTCTCAAACCAATATATAACTTTAATTTAACATGCTGTAACCACCAGGATGAACAATTCAAATAACCTAGCAGTTTATCTTATTTCTTAACTTTCTTATCTTCAGTGACATCAGTCCTGGAACTTCTTTCTTAAGAAAAATAAACAAACTTTAAATAGAGACAATATATACTGAAGGCTTTCTACTCTATTAAAATTTGCCACTAATGTTAAGCTGATCTATTAATAAGAATGTTTGTGAAAAATAAATATGTATTTTAGAATTTAAAATTCAAAAGTATTGATTTAAAAATGTCTTATATAAGCCCATATCATTTTAGATTATTATGTTGGGCAAATGAAACCTAGTTATCCTTTAAGAATTAATGAATGTTGGGGTGCCTGGGTGGCTCAGTTGGTTAAGTGTCCAATTCTTGATTTCTTGAGATCATCTGTCACATGATCTCACGGTTCATGAGATTAAGCCCCACATCTGGCTCTGCGCTGATAGGGCAGAGCCTGCTTGGGATTCTCTCTCTCCCTCTCTCTGCCCCTCCCTCCCTCACATGTGTGCACATGCTCTAAGTAAATAAATAAACTTAAAAAAAAAAAGTAAAATGTCCAAGTGGTAGGATGTGTGTGTCTGTGTGTGTGTGCGTGCGCGCATGAGAACTGGGAAAAGGAAGGCAGAAGTTATTAGAATCTTTTAGAATTATTCATGATTTCACCTAAAAGGATTTGAAGATATATACTAAAAACATTCTAATATGCATTCTAAATTACATTATTTCTTGGTAAACCTGATGTTTCATATATCCTACTAATCATTTTTAAGTAGCTTTAAAAATGTTTTCACAAACTGGGGCGCCTGGGTGGCTCAGTCAGTTAAGCATCTGAATTCAGCTCAGGTCATGATCTCTCAGTTCGTGAGTTCAAGCCCCATGTCGGGCTCTGTGCTGACAGCCGAATCCTGGAGCCTGCTTCAGATTCTGTGTCTCCCCCTCTCTCTGCCCCTCTCATGCTCTGCCTCTCAATAATAAATAAACATTAACATTTTTTTAAATGTTTTCACAAACTAATATACAATACCATTTATATTAGCATCCCAAGAATGAAATATTTAGGCATAAATCTAACCAAATACATATAAGGTCTACATGAGGAAAATTACAAAACTAATGAATGAATCAAAAAACTAAAATGGGAGAGATATTCCATATTCATGAATAGGAAATCTCAATATTGTCATGATGTCAATATCTTGATCTACAAATTAAATTCAATCCCAATCAAAACCCCAGCAGGTTATTTTATGGGTATCAACAAATTGATCCTAAAGTTTATATGCAGAGGAAAAGACCCAGAATAGCCAATACAATATTGAAGAAAAAAGTTGGAAGACTAACGCTAATAAGGACATTGTTGTATTGGTGAAAGAATAGACAAATACATCAAGAGAACAGAACAGAAAAGAGCCCAGAAACAGACCCCCATAAATATAGTCAACTGGTCTTTGACAAAGGAGCAAAGGCAATAATACAGTCGAGTGGAGATAGTCTCATCAACAAATGGTGCTGGAATAACTGGACATCCACATGCAAAAAAAAAAAAAAAAATCTAGACACATGCTTTATACCTTTCACAAAGATTACCTCAAAGTGGATCACAGACATAAACAGAAAATGCAGAACTATAAAACTCCTAGTAGATAAGCTTCTGGGTATGGTGATGCCTTTTTTTTTTTTTTTTTTTAATTTTTTTTTTTTTTCAACGTTTATTTATTTATTTTTGGGACAGAGAGAGACAGAGCATGAACGGGGGAGGGGCAGAGAGAGAGGGAGACACAGAGTTGGAAACAGGCTCCAGGCTCTGACCCATCAGCCCAGAGCCTGACGTGGGGCTCGAACTCCCGGACCGCGAGATCATGACCTGGCTGAAGTCGGACGCTTAACCGACTGCGCCACCCAGGCGCCCCGATGATGCCTTTTTACAACACTATAGTCATGAGCCATGAAAGAAATAATTGATAAGCTCGTCTTTGTTACAATTAAAAACTGTGCTCTGTGAAAGACAATATCAAGAAAATTAAAAGACAAGCCACAGATTGGAAGAAAATATTTGTAAAAGACACATCTGATAAAGGACTATTACCCAAAATCTACAAAGACCTTTTAAAATTCAACAAAAAGAAAACTAACAATCTGATTTAAAAATGGGCCAAAAATCTTAACAGACACCTCACCAAAGAAGATATACAGATAAAAAAACAAGCATATGAAAAGATGGTCCCCACCATACGTCATCAGGGAAATACAAATTAAAACAAGATACCACTATACTCCTATTAGAATGGCCCAATTTTGTAACACTGACAACAGCAAATGCTGGTGAGGATGAGCAACAGGAACTCTTATACATTGCTGGTGGGAATACAAAACAGTACACCCACTTTGGAAGACAGTTTGGTAGTTTCCTTCAAAACTAAACACTCTTACCATACATTTCAGCAGGTGTGCTCCTCGGTATTTACCCAAAGGAGTTGAAATTTATGTCCACACAGAAACCTGCACATGGATATTTACAGCAGCTTTATTCGTGATTGCCAAAACTTGAAACCAACCAAGATGTCCTTCATTAGGTGAATGGATAAATAAACTGGTAATCCAGGCAATGGAATATTACTCAGCACTAAAAAGAAATGAGCTATCAAGCTATGAAAAGACATGGTGGAACCTTAAATGTACATTACTGAGTGAAAAAAGCCAATCTGAAAAGGCTACACGCTGTATAATTCCAACTATACAATATGGTGGAGAAGGTAAAACTATGACAATAGTAAAAACATCAGTGGTTTCCAGAGGTGAGGGTTGGGAGAGGGAGAGAAGAAATGAACAAGTGGGGAGCACAGAGGACTTTTAGGGCAGTGAAAATACCCTGTGTGATACTGTATTTATCCAAACCCATAGATTATATATAACACCAGTAGTGAACCCTAAGAGAATCTGGACTTTGGGTGGTTATGATGTGCCACTATGGGTTCATCCTTGGTTAAAAAAAGAAAAAAAAAAAAAAAAATACTCTTCTGGTGAGTAATTTTTTTTTTTGTTTTTTTGTTTTTTTTTCTGAGAATGTTGATAATGGAGAAGGTTATGTATATGTGGGGATCGGGATATAATGGGAAATGTCTGTACCTCCCTCTCAATTTTACTGTAAACCTAAAACTGCTCTAAAAAATAAAGTCTTAAAAAACTAAATTCCACATTTGATTTAAAATATAATTGTTTCATTATAATACATTAAACATTTATACTGTCAGTTACTGGCACATGGTCATTGTCTTTTTTAATTTTTAGATCTTACAACTTACTGTTGTTTCTTGCACAGTAAATTTTTAAAATGTGGCTTAACATTTTCACAGAACTTTTTTTAAAACATAAAGTCCAGATTCTGCCAACCAGTTCTCCTTTTGTTCCCCATCTTACCATTTCAATTTCCATATTAGGGACACTTACCAGATACAGTACATATCCCCATTCTGGAGCTGCGGAATAAGAAAGGATTCACAGAGTTGCAAAGCTAACATAGTCTTGCCTTCTTTTTCAGTGTTACAGATGATATCAATTCCACTCTTACAATCAGTTTTCAATAAATGCTATAAGAGGAAAAGAAAAATCAGTTCATATCATTAAAAATACCTAAAAAGCTAGTTGCATTAAATGTCTGGATTAAACATTCAGGAAAAAATTTAAATTTCTGGTTTTCTTCTACAAAAACAATGATGAATTATACAGAAATATTTTCATGGTTTCATAGTTTTACTATCTAGCACCTGCAATTTATAACTACTTTTAATCTCATTAATGTCCACAACTTGTAAGTGAATAGGTTCTATATTAGGAAAAGATTCTTTCATCTTAAAAAAAAAAAAACAAACAAACGAAAACAACAAACATGAGCATTTAATTTCTTAATATTTTATTAAAAGGCAAAATACTTTATAAAAGTATTTACAAAACAAGTGCTGAATAATTAATTTAAATTTTTATTTAAAATGCTTCCTATTTTTATTTAACCTCTTCTGTCACACAATAAGCTCAACATGTATAATGCTTATTGATGAATGCTTTGTTAATTTCATCAATTGTCAATCTCAGATTGTCTAATTCAATGTGAGCTTAAAGAATAGTGTCAAAGAGAACACATCTAAATAATGTAATCCTAAAACCTTTGGTGTTACTGTAAAAGGAATTTTACAAGAATGGGCTACTTTTTTTTTTTTTATTTTTGATAAGGTTAAAATAGTAAAAGGCAAACATAATCTCAAACAATACCTCCCGGAATAGTTGATCTTCTACAGGTGACATAAACAGACATGTGAAGAGTGCTTGATGGAAGTACAAGTCTTTGCTGATTTCTGGGTGATTTATACAAGATTTGATAAGAGCCATTGCTTCAGGTATGCGTTCACAAGCAATTAGGTATCTGGCACGTAGTTCAAAGAACAGTGGATTTTCAGAACTTAAATATTTGTTCACTATATTAAAAAGAAAACAAACTTATTACTCTCAAGAAAAGATTCTCAAACTTTGTTGTTTGAAACTCTACCACTAACATGTGGCATCTAATTAGATTAAGTGGTTATTTAACTAAATAGCATATTCCTTAGTAGGAGTTTATTTATGAAAATAATATTCAGTCATATGATTGGAAAAATGGAAATAAGAGTAACACCAAAACTGCTCAAGAAGTATCTTTTGATTTCTTTTCAGTCTAAAAACTGAAAAAATTTTAACAAAAAATGAAATACTCTCTTTTCAGTTCACTAATATGTTAAAATATGTTTCAGATAACATGGGGTCTGGAATTTCTAGTCTATTTATGTACTTTATATTTTGTTGCCTAATATTGTCATTCACATAAGGTTAAAAGGCTGAATCCTATTTTGTCATTAAAACCACATTGATTTAGATGTATAGAGAAAAGTAATGTGAATTAAGGAAAATGTTTTATTACTTCTTATCAAAAATTAAGCCAAAAGTAGTACCAAAAAGGATTGCTTATTAATATATGTATCACTAAGAATAATTACTAATTAATACTTTACACAACTTAAAAACATAAAAACACCTTTATCTACCTAAGTTTATTTAGACCTAACAACAACCTATGACAGGTATCATAATACTTCTTTCACAGATCACAAAACTGAGACTCAGAGAGGTCAAATGACTTGCCCAAGGACAAAGAATAAGTGGCAGAGCAGGAACAGGGATCCACATTTCATGATTTCAGATCAAAATGTTTTCATTACTTGTGTATGTTTAATCAGTAGCTTCTAAAATTCCTATGAGTGATGTTTTATTTGGGCTTCAACATGTGCCTTGCAATTCCGTTTACAGCATATGATAAGCAGACAATGATTTATAGAGTTAATACAAAGATAAACTTCAGACTGGTCTTTATCTTAATGGTCACCAACTAGAGGAGAGTCATCCATATTAATGAGGCTCTAGAGCAGCTTTTCCCAAAGTGAGGTATGCTAGTGGAAGTATGAAAGGAATATATACGTAAGGATGAGAGAGAGGGAGAGAGAGAGAGAGACATACCATCAGCCCTTACACCAACCAACAGATTTGTTCTAGCTCCTAGTCAGAGAAGCCTAAAAGCCCAAGCTTTCTTCTCTATTCTCCTTTTCAAGCTCCTCATCTAGCTTCTGTGCCATCTGACCACATTCCCCAGGCTCCTCATAGTTTTCTTCAGTCTGTCACCCTTGCCTTCCCTATATTGACTCTATATGCTTTTCCTCGATGGTACAACTCTTCCTCCTCAGTTCCAACTGCCTCCCTCTTCAGTTTTTTACTCCTTTCTGAAACCCTCACATCAAGTTCCAGTCTCCCTTGTATGCCCTGGGTATTTACCACTATAACACTATGATACATATTGTAGCTCTTTCCTCTAGTCTTATTCTACCTCCTATCTCAGCCCACCACTTTTAACTACTTCTCCTGATCTTCTCTCTTTCGTCATCTTCTCTCCTATCTCTGTCACAGTCCTCCACACTTGTATCTGGAGTTGACTTGCTCTTAAGCTGGAGAAGCATAGCCCCTTCTCCACTCAACTCTACTCAAAACCTACCCCCAACCCTTATTAACCTGAGGCAAATGGAAAGATCCTAACCTGCTCAGCACAATATGTGGTGTGAAGTATCCTCACCAGAACAAGGGTGGGAAGTCTTGTCTTTTCTTTCTGGCCATCTTATAATTGCACTCCATGGGCTCTCTCCATGCTTTCAAATGTTTTCCATGCTTTTTCTGATTACACTACTGCTGAGTTTACATTCTAAGTTCTGATGATCCAAAATGTTCTGGGGCTCAGGAACAATATGGCAAACAGTTTTTAAAAAGAATTACCTAGAAGTAATTGACAGAGCCTCTTGCCTCAAAAGGAAATTTTGGCCCACAGGAAACACAGCGGATCTATGCTGGAAGGAGGTGATACCAAAGCATGCAGGTCGTTCAGGGATGAGATAAAACTCAACTTCTACTAATGGATGAAGTTTGGGAAATACTGCTCCAGAGTACTTGGAATTCATTCAACTCGTCACTCATTCACTTACACATTCCTCAGATGGTCACTTGGTTCAGTTAACAAATACTTATATTGAGTACCTACTCTGTACCAGGCACTGGGCTGGGTATAGGATATGCAGTAGTGGTGACAAAAACTGACAAAGAGTTCCAGCCCTCAGAGTTTCCTGTATAAGGGAGATTCCATGTGCTTAAGCAGGGTGTTGTTGTTGTTGTTTTTAAGGGTGTTTGTTCCTACTTAACTAGATTTTTAAAATATAACAAATGATGAAACCAAACTCTCTGTAAGTAACATCTGGACAGTAAGTGTATTACACTGAATTCCCATTAGAATAAATGGAAAATTACTATACATAAAGGTACCTAGTCTGGTGTCAAAAATCATTCTTGGGCCAGGTTAGTATAACAATTTAAACACACTTCATGTGAAAATACATTACTCTTATTCAGTATTAGAAGATAAAGAAAAATCACTATTACTGCTCTAGTTAGAAATGAAAATTGCGCTTGCTTCTCACAAATGTTGGTTTTGATTTTGAGTCTCCTGAAGTACCTATCTCCTGAGATGCTGGCTGGGCTTTAAGAACAGCTTGCAACACTGGATCTTCCCATGGGCCACCATCTCTAATGATTCGAGTCACCAGTTCCAGATTCACATTTCCATATCTGCGGAGGTGATTCTGGCATTCCTAGGAGAGAAAAATCATTTTGGCTTTGTGAATTTAAAGGGGTTAAAAACTAAACTTGATCATCCTTGTCAATAAAATGACTGATGGTCAATGAGTCCACTATTAAATAATAAAAGAGAAAGGGTTGCTATAGTAACCTAAGTAGGGTGTTAAAACCCCATCAGTACACAAATAGGCTTTAATGCCAAAGGTTACAGAGTTTCTACATAATTGGACTTAGAAAATCCAATTATAATAGGGATTAAGTGTAACCCAAGGGAAAAACTTAAGGGATGCATCATTTCTAGGAAAAGAACCAGGTTTTAAAACCTAAGGGAAAAACTTACAGGATGCATCATTTCTAGGAAAAGAACCAGGTTGCAAAAATGTAAAACTTAAATGTTCAGTTTATGTGAGGGCTCATAAAGCTTCTGTTAACAATGGCAAGCAAGAACCTGACTATAAGAAAGAGGTAGAAGGGTCCCTGTCCAATGCAGACTGTGGTTGGCAGACACAGGTCCCCTGCTCTGATCCCAAATGTATACACCTAGTTGTGATGGAAGGCTAGAAGATGGAAATTCTATTGCATTATTGTTCTATTAGCAGATTTGTAGTCTTGGGATAAAGAAATGGCAGGCTGAAGGAATGAATCCAACCTATAATACGAAGACTTTACATTAGTTTTAAGATAAAGATGTACTGATAGGTTGGGCATTAACTGATAATTTGTCTATGTATTTTCTGGGATTTTTTTTAAAGATGTTTGAAATATTTTTAGAGAATCTTTTATCTTAGACTTGTGATTATAATATGAATTATGTAACAAGTTTGTAAACAAAGCTTAATATTTAGGAGAACTTGGTTGACTGAATTTATAAATTTGATTTCTTAGATTTAGGTTTACGAGATTTAATTATTTGATTATGCTTTTTTGATTCATTACATACCTTGGTATTGTTTCTAAAATGTTTCAGGGAATTTAATTTGATAATTAAAAGATTAACTGAAGGCCTAGTGAGGGTATAAATAGATACATATTTTTTAATGCATACATTGAGCTTACAGCCTTAAGGAAAAAACTAGGCATTGAAATTGGCAATGTTAAAAATTTGAATAAATGGCACATCAATTAAAACACAAATAATTGCCAAAATTTCTTTCTGTGCTCAAAATATCCTTCAGACATTAAAAACTTAGTAAGTTATAAGCAAAGCTTAAACAATACACCATTACAAATTTTACTTATGATATAAATCATCAGGCTACATGTTCAAAGTGGCAGTAAACACTTTGCTTTTATTTGTCATGTTCTTTCATCATTTGAATGTTCCAAAGTAGTATCTATATGCCACTTTTTATTCCTTGTTAAGATACACAAAAAGAGGTTTTATTTGTTTCATGAAAGAACAAGGCAGTAGAAGAATCAAGTTTCAAGATAAAGAATCATTTAGTCAAAGAAGTCAACAGATAATTAAGTCATAACATGAAAATAAGTGTCTTCTAGAAGTTATTTAGAATATTCCCAAATTAAAATGAGCAAGCAAGCAAGCAAGCAAGCAAACAAAACTGTATAAATAATGGGCAAGTTACTTAACCTCTCTGTGCTCCTTCAGTTAACTCATCTGCAGAATGGTTACTAAAAACACCTACTTCATAGGATTGTTGTGAGGTTTAAATATACAGTATTGAAAGTGCTTACTTAGTACAGTGCCTGGCACATAGTAAGCACTTAATAAATGTTAGCTATTATATCTTCTAGTATTTTTTAACATTTTGGATAACTATTTTATCTTTGCACACCCAAATGCCTTAGCAGAAAATTAATTTCTACATTTCCATGTGTCAGCATGTTTATATAGCATTCATAAAAACAAGATATAAAGTTTTTTGATCAGCCATGATTTGTTTTAAACACATGGAACATAGTAAAAATCTGTGATAACAGCTTTAAAACAATCATTGACTTCAAACCTAAAGGTGAATCAACTCCTATATTACTCTAGACACACATACTGCTACCCCTAAAATTCAACTACTGTAAGCTGGCTTTGGTTCAATAAAAGTACAAGACATAAGGTGAGCTGGATGCTAGTCCCTGAATCACTGGTGAGCTTTAGCTCTGCTGCTGAGCTCTTGGACAACCCATCTTTCTAGCTGTCTCACAATAGGTGAGGTACCAATCACACAGCCCTTAGCATTGTGAGACCCAGAATTGGACTTCGTGAAATAGGTCTATTGCTAATCTCCTAAACATGGCTGAAAAATAAATACTTGGAGGTCTTGTTAAAAAACAGATTCCCAAGCACCAGTTCAAATATACTAAATCAAAATTTCTAGAGGAAAGCGCTGATAAACTGTATATTTAACAACCCCCACCCCAGAGTCAACTCTGACATACTTTCTGATTATACTTTCTACATTGAGTGTGTACTTTCATAAATGTTTATGCTAGAAAGTATATACTTGTACTCCTATCAATCCTTCTATTAAAAATTAGTCAATTAGCTTAAGTTCATTTTTCTAAGATAAAAATTGTATGGGAGAGTTTTGTTTTTTTTTTTGTGTGTGTGCACTTATTGAGACAAATGCACCTTATTTTAGAGACCATTTTCTATGGGAAATGGCTCTGGACAGGAAATAGAGATGAAATGAAGATTTCATTTTGGTTTATTTAAAAAGACATGGGATGGAAAAAAAAAAAAAGACATGGGATTAGAGAACAAGTAAGTTTGTAAGTATATTTTGGCTCCTCCTTCCTTAGATAGTATGGTGGCTTTTGTGGATGATACGCAATTCAAAAGCCTCCAAAGCGAAAAAGGAAGCACTTTAGTCACTATAGAATTCACAACTATCCTTCCTATATATGCATATTATATATATTTTTACAATGTTTACTTAAAAATTTGGACCTGTACATTAACCTAATCCTTTATTAAGTCACCTGTCTACTATCATTGATACCCATCACTGGGCTAAATGTTCCCTCAGAAACTTCCATTCAACCTTGTGTTTTTGCCAAAGGTAGAAAACAAAACCCCCTCCTTCACTTTTCTTTCAGAATCTATTGTGGTGCAAACTTAATGTTTTGTTCCAGAAGAATTTTCTTCCCTGAACTTGTTACCTCATTAGAATTGCCCCCCCCCCAACATGTCTGCAAAGCTGTATATTCAGTGTTCTTGATCTGAACTCCTCAGCAGCTCATCATAAAATGAAATTCTTTTTTTTTCCAGAGGATGAAATTCTTAATGACTGAACTTCATATTTAAGGATCTCTGCACTTACCTACCTAACTCATTCAGCTATCAACATCATGAATCCTCCAGCCTGGTCTCCTCCATGTCTCAAATTCATCATGTACTTTCTTGCTTATGCTTTTCTTTTATCACTCACTCTTTTTCTCCTACAACTTCCTACAAACCTATTGAAATCTTCCAGTAAACCAATCTAAATACTTTCCTATCTTTCCATAATCCTGCTTTTCCTTGAGAAGCCTGTACTAGCTACCTCAATCCATAATAAAGTTAATTCCTTCTCCTGCAGTACTGAAAATCAGTACCAGTCAACTCTTCTGATATTTATCATGTAAGAGGGAGCGTTGTGTTATTAAGGGCTGACATCTTACTTCTTAGGTAGTTAAAAGCATGTTCAAACAGAGCCAAGAAAGGAAAGGTATACCAGAAAAGATAAATTCTCAATAATAACTTTTTAATCAGAATCGAGTTTTATGGAAATCCATGTAATCAGAAACATTATGCAGTATTTGTCTTATTTTGAATGCAGCTTCCAGAACAAAACTGTAGAATACCATATCAAATTCACTCATAAAGCAAGCTATTGTAGCAAATCAAAGCAAAACATTTTTAAAAGGTCTTCAATGTGGTTAATGTTATAAAAACAGAGCCTTTAAAATACAGTAAAATCTTTACAATACTTTATAATAAGAGGAGAATGATCATAACTTTTATTATTACACTTCCATTGGTTATCTCATGGCAAAGCATTTAAAAAAGTTGTAAAATTTAAAGTTGTTACGTAGTTTTCTTTTTCAAAAAGATAACATTACACATTTGCTGTTCTTTTCTGTGGTAAGTTCCTAAGAAATATTTACCTAATGTTTTTAAAAAATAAACATTCTGAGTTTGCCCATATAAAGAGGACAGTATAACAGTGAAAAAGTTACTGCTTTTCAAAAGAAAGTTATGGAGAAAATCATTTAAAATGAATATTTGGAAGTGTTTACATTCTTGCAGGTTTGCTGTTGCCAAAATCAGTATGTCACTTACAATGTTTGTATTAAAAAACTTAAACTAGAATTTTTTGTTGAAAAACCTTTCAACTGGAGCATTTTAATGGGCTTTCAGAGTCATATGTTAAAAATGGTTAGTATCAAAACATTGATGTCAGTAACAATAGAAATTTTGTAGTCAAATTTCAACAACTCTTTGTAATTTGGGTAGAAGGAATTTAAACTCAGTATCACAGTTGAGAAAATTTTTCACCTATGACAAATATTAAAACCAAGTATCAAAGTAAACACCTTAAAATCAGACTATATGACCAAGTGTTAGAATTTTTCAAAAATAAAGCATATTAAGTCATACTGCTATCATTAGTTTTTACACTGTTAAAACATTATTTTACTTTCATTTTTTTAAATGTTTTTTATGTTTCATAATGTATACAGTATTAGCACATATCCATAAATAATACATATATATGTATTGAGGATATTCTGTTTTTTAAAAAAACCTAGATGGTTGTGCTATCAGAAGTCTGGACATTCCTGATTTTAGGTATTATTTGTTTTTACATTTGTGTTTGGAATCAAATCAAAAAAAAAAGGAGACAGTTTTAAACTGTCTTCTACTGATCCTAATATCATGTCAGTTTTCTTTCTTATGTGATGTGCTTCTACCTGTTATTTTTACTGTTTACACTCTAGTCTAGGCCTTCATCTGCTATCACTTAGATAACCACATTAGTTTCTTCTTTCTGTCTCTGCTATGCAAGTCTTTAGGAGG